CTTTAAAAGTTTACAATGGGAAAGGAGAAGGTTCACATCAACATTGTGGTTATTGGCCACGTCGACTCTGGTAAGTCGACCACCACTGGTCATCTCATCTACAAGCTTGGAGGAATTGACAARCGTGTTATCGAGAGATTYGAGAAGGAAGCTGCTGAGATGAACAAGAGGTCATTCAAGTATGCCTGGGTGCTTGACAAGCTCAAGGCTGAGCGTGAGCGTGGTATCACCATTGACATTGCCYTGTGGAAGTTTGAGACCACGAAGTACTACTGCACAGTCATCGATGCTCCTGGGCATCGTGACTTTATTAAGAACATGATTACTGGAACTTCCCAGGCCGACTGTGCCGTCCTCATCATTGATTCTACAACTGGTGGTTTTGAAGCTGGTATCTCCAAGGATGGCCAGACTCGTGAGCATGCTCTCCTCGCCTTCACCCTTGGTGTCAAGCAAATGATCTGCTGCTGCAACAAGGTAAATGAATGAAAAYTATGCTAGTCTTTTATAATTCAGTTCTTTTTTYGTTAACTTGTGCATTTGTGATTTGATTATTGATTCCATCTTTTATGATGTGTAGATGGATGCCACCACCCCAAAGTACTCCAAGGCTAGGTACGATGAAATTGTGAAGGAAGTGTCTTCCTACTTGAAGAAGGTGGGATACAACCCTGAKAAAATCCCCTTCGTTCCCATCTCTGGGTTTGAGGGTGATAACATGATTGAGAGGTCCACCAACCTCGACTGGTACAAGGGCCCAACCCTCCTCGATGCCCTTGACCAGATCCAGGAACCCAAGAGACCCTCGGACAAGCCCCTCCGTCTCCCACTTCAGGATGTCTACAAGATTGGTGGTATTGGTACTGTCCCAGTGGGACGTGTGGAGACTGGTATCCTCAAGGCTGGAATGGTTGTCACCTTTGGCCCCTCTGGATTGACCACTGAAGTTAAGTCTGTTGAGATGCACCACGAGACTCTCCAGGAGGCCCTTCCCGGAGACAACGTTGGGTTCAACGTGAAGAACGTCGCAGTGAAGGATCTGAAGCGTGGTTTCGTGGCTTCCAACTCCAAGGACGATCCTGCCAAGGAAGCTGCCAGCTTCACATCCCAGGTCATCATCATGAACCACCCAGGCCAGATCGGAAATGGTTACGCCCCTGTGCTCGATTGCCACACTTCCCACATCGCCGTGAAGTTTGCTGAGCTCCTGACCAAGATTGACAGGCGATCTGGTAAGGAACTCGAGAAGGAGCCCAAGTTCTTGAAGAA